CAGCATTTTATTCATGGTCTTATAGAAGAAGAGATCTACATGGAGCAGCCGGAAGGCTACAAGGTTAAGGAAAAGGAGAAGCAAGTGTGTTTGCTGGAAAAGACCCTCTACGGTTCGAAGCAAGCTCCAAGACAGTGAAACAAGTGTTTTCATCGGTAGGTGGTCAGTCACAGTTTTGAGAGGAGTGAATTCGATTACTGCGTTTATATCAAAATGGGAAAAGGTGGAGTCTATCTACTCTTATATGTTGACGATATGCTCGTTGCTTCAAAGGAGATGGAAGAGGTCAAGCTTGTTAAGGACTTGTTGAACATGCGGTTCGAGATGAAAGATCTAGGTCCAGCTAGTAGGATACTATGCATGGACATTCACAAAGATCATGTGAATGGTATCCTGTCTCTGTCTCAATCAAGCTATGTGAAAAAGATCCTACAAGTGTTCAACATGGATGAATCAAAATCAGTTTCAACACCAATTGGATCTCACTTCAAGTTATCTGCTTTAAAGGATGATGAAGAAGAGACAGTGATGGATGATTTGTCGTATGCAAATACTATTGGAAGCATCATTTATGTAGTGATTGGCACTCGCTGTGATCTAGCTTATGCAGTCGGCTTGGTTAGCAGATATATGAGTAAGCCTATTATGGTTCATTGGTCTGCGGTTAAGTGGGTTCTGAGGTACCTAAAGGGAACACAAGACTTGAAGCTAGTTTTCAGGAAGAATGAAGAGTTTAAGGTAAAAAAGTTTGGTGATTCAGATTTTGCCTCGGATCTGGACAGAAGAAGATCGATTTTAGGATATGTTTTCACGGCTGGTGGTAATGCGATTAGCTGGAAATCAAGCCTTCAACACGTTTTTGCTTTGTCTACGACAGAAGCAAAGTATATAGCTCTTGTTGAAGCTGTAAAGGAAGGTATCTGGCTTGAAGTGTTAGCAGAGGAGTTTGGATTCAAGCAGGATTCAGTTGACATCTGGTGCGATTCTCAAAGTGCACTATGTCTTGCGAAGAACAATTTTCATCATGAAAGAACTAAGCATATAAGCAAAAAGATGCATTTTATCAGAGATGTTGTAGAAGGAGAAGTAAAACTGCAGAAAATCTGCACATCTAAGAATCCAGCTGATATGTTGACTAAGGTACTTCCAGTTGATAAATTTGAGAAGGTTTTGAGTTTTCTCGGCTTAGCTAAGCACTGAGGTGCTTTGGAGCTGCCTGGAGATGTTCACGTTTGCAAGGATTGCACAGCAGATCAGAATTGATTATCATCAAGGTGGAGTTTGTTGAGCTTTTGGTGATAAAAAATCCATTTTGAATCGGGCTTAAACCAGAGCTGGTTATGCTCAATTAGAGTTGCTGGTTTTTATCTTTGGTTTACAGTTTCGTATTTTAATCGGTTGATCCTTTATAATTAGTTTTCAGTATATAGCTGAATGGTGAACAGTCATCTCTCTTTGATCGGTGATAAGATTTGTAACAGAGAGAGAAGAGAAACTTGTAATCGAGTGAGAAATTTAGTGGATTACTGGAAATCTCCAGACTGAGACATAAGGTTTCATATTCCGTGAACCTGAACTCGTTAAATCTTCCCGTGACGTTTTTTTTTGCAATTCCTTGATTCTTCTTTGTTCAAAGTTCTTGTTATCTTCTTTGTGTGAATATTGAGAGATTGAGTGGTCGAGAGTTTAATCGGATTGGAAATTGTTCGCTACAAGTAGGGTGTGATTTAACTTGAGCGTCACAAAACTTTCGGAAGGAAGGTTTTTCCGGAAACCCGACTTACTCGTTTGTCAGCATACGCTGAACACAATCAGATGTTCGCTCCAAAGTTGCATATCACTCAATTTCCAGATAATAAAATTTGGAGACCCAACTCCGCTACCCAGACGATCTCGTACCTCCATCAGCATTTTATAATTTTTTCCCAAGTAACACATTTATATTCGCTCTTGTCTTGATTTTCTTTCTCTAAGTTTTTGAAGAAAATTAATACCCAAATCAATTTGGGTTTTTTGTTTTCATTTTAAATTTCAATTTTTTATTTTAAAATAGTTTAAAATAAATTAAATCATATTTTTAAAAATTTTAAAACAGTTTTAAGTCAAATTTAATCATGTTTCTTAATTTTATAATGGAGATAACTGTTTTTTAGACAGATGTTAATTCTTTGTTAACAGAATTTACTATTAGGTTTAAAATTTTAGCATTGTGTAATCAAAATTTACTTTGAAAAGTTTTTATGATAAAAAAATTTGGTTGATAAAATTTAAAATGTTAATGCATACTAATTTCAAGTGTTTTATTTTTTTCAAATGTTTTTAAAATTGGGGGAATTGTTGAATATGACTCAAAACTTGAGTTGAAATGCAAAACTAGACCCTCTATTGCATGTTTGACAAAAATAACTCACAGGAGTATTAAAATTATAACTTTAACCCTTATGACCAAACAAAAAAACGCCAACCTCAATTACTATTTTATTCCAGAGAAGTCTACTCTTTAATAATATGTTTACAATTAATTTTAAACAAAATCATAAAAGATAATTTAATAAAAAAAATTAGATACATAACAACAAATATATACTTTTTACACCTATTAAAAATAAAATCTGACAGAAAATAATCAATTTAAATCATCATAGATAAACTAGGATAAAAATCAATACTAAGAGACTTCTCGAGTAGACTTCTCGAGTAGACTTCTTGGAGAAGTCTACTTACACGAATCTTTTCCTACATATATAAGGAGAGTTTAACCTAATTGTATTAACAACAAAGTCTCTCTCTATCTAAAAAACGCCTCTCTCTCTCTCTTCTCCCTTCTCTCTGGTCATGAATTTCTTCTCCTTCCTCTCTTGCTATCAATATCCTCTCCATCCTCTCTATCTTGCATTCAACCTCCTCTCACTTGCAGGTTATGGTAGTGGTAGGCAAATCTGAGCTTTTGTGTTCTTCTTTTTATTTGCTTTGTGTTCATATTGCAAATCTGAGATTATTATTATAGATTTGAGCTTATTGTTGTAGATCTAAGTTTATTTTTGTAGATCTGAGTTTATTGTTGTGTAAATTTTGTAGATTTTGTTAATTTTTGTTATTATTGCAGAGCTGAATTTTGTTGATTTTTGTACAGATCTGAATGTTATAAATATAGTAGATTATTAGTATAGATCCGTGCTTATTAGTTTAGATTTGAGCTTATTTTTGTAGATCTAAGTTTATATTTGTAGATCTGAATTTATTGTTGTATAAATTTTATAGATTTTGTTCTAGATCTAATTTTTTCGTTATTGTTGCAGAGCTGAATTTTGTTGATTTTTTTGCAGATCTGAATGTAAACTTCTCGAGTAGACTTCTCGATCTCGAGCAGACTTCTCGAGTAGACTTCTTGATCTCGAGCAGACTTCTTGATCTCGAGCAGACTTCTCAAGCAGACTTCAGTTGCATACATAGTTTTCAGAGATTTTAGTTTACTAGTCATTTCTTATGCCAATTTTAAGATTTATAATTAGTGATCCTTAAATGTTTGTTTGTTTAGAGGGTTATTTTCTATGTAATGTTGAATTGCATTAAATGTTTTGTATTAAATTCCTAAATTATCTATGTTTATCTATTTTACAAAATAGACTTCTCCTGTCTCGAGTAGACTTTTTAAAGACATTAATTTTACATTACTTATAAGTGATTCAGAGGGACATTTCTCCCATTTATATCATATAACTTGTCAACCGAGTAGACTTCTCTTGTCTCGAGTAGACTTCTCTTGTCTCGAGTAGACTTTTAAAAGACATTAATTTTACATAACTTAAAAGTGATTCAGAGGGACATTTCTCTCATTTATATCATATAACTTGTCAACCGAGTAGACTTCTCTTGTCTCGAGTAGACTTCTCCTATCTCGAGTAGACTTCTAAAAGACATTAATTTTACATAACTTAAAAGTGATTCAGAGGGATATTTCTCTCATTTATATCATATAACTTGTCAACCGAGTAGACTTCTCTTGTCTCGAGTAGACTTCTGAAGTAGACTTCTCATTGTCTCGAGTATACTTCTTAAAGACATTAATTTTACATAACTTAAAGGTGACAACATTCGCCCTCCTTTGCTATTCGCCCTCCTTTGCCAACATTCACCAAGAAGCTCATCATGTGTGCAACCATCTCTTAAGAACAACATTCACCCTCCTTTGCTATTATCCACCTCGAACTGCCACACTGATTTACTCTTAACCCATTCTCCATAAACAGCGGGTATGTGAGCCATTCTTTGTGAAAAAAGAACAAAATCCAAACCACATTAGACATCAAAATTGCATAAGTAGACTTCTCTGAAAGTCGGATGAAGTCTACATAGTAGACTTCTACAGTAGACTAAGTCTACTATGGTCAATTGCAAAAATGACCTACGAGAAGTCTACTTATAGAAGTAGACTTCTCCGAGAAGTCTACTTTTACCGCAGGTCATTTTTGCAATTGACCAAAAAGTCAAATATTTTTCAATTGCAAAAATGACCTGCAAAAGTAGACTTTTCGGAGAAGTCTACTTTGCATAGAGAAGTCTACTCTACAAAGTCAAAGGTTGGTCAATTGCAAAAATGACCTGCTTCTAAAGAAGTCTACTCGAGAAGTCTACTCTATTTTTTTTGTTATCAAAGGAAATTGAGTAGACTTCATTCGGACCAAAAGAAGTCTACTTTTTCATGCGGTCAATTGCAAAACTAACCTGGGCGTTGACTAGTAGACTTCATTCGGACCGAGAAAAGTCTACTTTTGGAGTATTTTCGTAAATAAGTGAGAAAGATGAGGATTAGTTGGTATTTGGATTTCCGAAAATAAAAGAAATTAATTAAAAATAATAGTAATTTCGTAAATAACTGAAACTATGAAGGATTGTTTGGACACAAAATGACAAATGTTAGGAAGGTAATTTTTGTGGGTTAGATTTGCAATTCAAATCAAATTTTAAGTTATTTTTGCAAGAATCCTTTTAAAATTTGGAAGAGATTGAAGTATAAAGACTTCCCAATTGTCGGACCCACACTTGTATCTTTTCTCGAATTCCACTTGGAACAATTTGACCAAACTCCTCTGCACTTCTGACCTCGGCTGCCTCAAGAATTTTCTTATAGGAAGATGGAACCTCATCCTCACATCCTCCTAAGTCCTGATTCCCCTAACCAAAAATCCATATTCAGCTAAGAAATTCTCCGGCAATAAAAAAAAAATGGAAACTTCCCATTTTACCTTTTCCTTTCTTCTGGTCGCCTTCTCCTACCTCCTCTCACTTTGCGCCCAAATGACCGTATTGACCGGAAACTTTAAATGCAGCAGCTCACCCTCCACGTGTATCTCTCTCGTCGGTTACTCTAGCAGGCATTCCACAACGTTAGGCAATATCCAAACCCTCTTCTCCGTCAAGAACTTCCGTTTGATCCTAGAAGCCAACAACCTCCCATTCTCCACCACAGACGCTGAACGCGTGAACCCAGACCAGGTCGTACGCATCCCAATCCCTTGTTCTTGCTCAAACGGAACCGGCGTTTCGAACAGGGTTCCGGTTTACAAGGCAAAGCAAGGCGAGTCGCTCCACTACATGGGAATTGAGATTTTCGGAGGGTTGGTTAGTTACCAGAAGATCAGTGACATGAACAGTCTAACTGACAAAAGCGAAATAAAAATTAGTCAAAAGTTTTGGATCCCTTTGCCTTGTAGCTGTGATCAGTTGGACGGTCAAAATGTTGTCCACTATGCACATGTGGTCAAAGAAGGAAGCTCACTTGGTGAGATTGCAGCTCAATTTGGAACGGACATCACGACGTTGGCACGGCTCAATGGGATCTCCGGCGATGCTCCGTTCCTCGCTGATTATCCTCTCGACGTCCCTCTCAGAGGTAAATCTGAAGTCTAATATTTTAGATATTGATGTGAAATGATAATATTGGTTATTTTAAATTCTATTTAGACATCTTTAGAGGCTAATAGGTTCTTTTGCATAGTAGTTGCACGTTTTTCTCTTATCTATCTTTTTTCTTTTCTTCAACAAATGTATTTTTAGCTTCCAAAAAACAGAGAAGAGTAGTACATGATCAATCTCTCTCTGTCTCCGACAAAATATTTCTTATACAATCATATGGATGCTCTTTTGATTTTTTTTTCTTCAGGTGATGCCCGTTATACACGCTGTGCTCCTAGGTTTCGCTGCGGACATCTGACAGATCTCTCTTATCCCTTTTGGACACCTGAGAGAGAAGAGTGCGGTCATCCGGATTTCAAAGTCAACTGCAGCGGAGATTTCGCAGAGTTTAGTAAATCGTCGGTTAAGTTCCGAATACTTGCGATGAACTATGATGATCATACCATAAGACTCGCCAGGATGGATTATATCAACAATCTTTGTCTCCAAAACGCCGAGAACGAAACAATTAACCAACAAGTTCTACCATATTCTAGAGATACCCAGCTCGTAACGTTTAATTACAAATGCCCTTCTTCAATGGAAGACCTGAACTGTGAAGTTGATATTGGTGGGCAATCCTATCTTTTCTCGTCCCCTTCAAATCTTACATCGTGTAAAAGAAACGTCATCATTCCAATTTCTCGATCTGCCTTGGAGATAGCAGAAAGAAATCAGAGTGAGGAGGCTATAAAGAAGGCTCTCGATGGCGGTTTTGAACTTAACTTTAACAGCGATTGTTCCGAATGTGTAAGATCAGGGGGCGCTTGTGGACATAGTCAGGGCTCAAGAGCTTTCGTCTGCTATTGTATAGATGGGAATTACGAGCATACTTGCCATTCTGTAAAGAAGAGTAAGATCGTGTCTTAATGTGATTTGCTAATAAATTCTTAAGCTTTATTATCATAGTACGATTCTAAAGTCGTATCATCATGAATTTGAACTGACATTTTCCTCATGGTATTTGTTCATACAGGTCGTCTCTCCAGAAAAGTGAAAATAGGTAAGTTACTATTATTTTCCTTTCAGGGAATATTTCAATAGAATATACCTCAGAAACAACATAGTCTTACGAGGCTCTCATCTTTTTTGTTTGTCTCTAGGCATCGGACTCGCTTGTGGATTCATGGGTTAGTTTCTGACCAGATAACGTTTAAACTAGTGTGTTAGATTTTCTAATAACTGAACATATTTTCCTGTTTTCTAGGGACTGTTTCAATTGCAATAGGCCTTGTCATATTCAAAACTTCATTGGGCTTTCGAAAGAGAAAAACTTCACATAATTCTAGAAACCATGACCTAAAGGCTCTAACACAACTTAAACAATACAGTTATGCAGAAGTGAAGAAAATTACAAAATCCTTTTCACATACGGTTGGGAAAGGAGAATTTGGAACAGTATATAGTGGAAACCTCTGCGATGGTCGTAAGGTTGCTGTGAAAATCTTGAAGGATTTTAAGGGAAATGGTGAAGACTTCATCAACGAAGTCGCAAGCATGAGCCAAACATCTCATGTTAACATAGTTTCTTTGCTTGGTTTCTGCTATGAAGGGTCCAGAAGAGCAATTGTATACGAGTTTCTAGAGAATGGATCTCTGCATCAGTTCATCTCTAATAAGAATTCATTGAGTCTAGATGTGAGTACACTATATGGAATTGCCCTAGGTATTGCTCGGGGACTTGAGTACTTGCACCATGGTTGCAAAACAAGGATTGTGCATTTTGACATTAAACCTCAAAATGTACTGTTAGATGACAACCTCTGCCCTAAAGTCTCGGACTTTGGCCTCGCTAAACTATGCGAGAAAAGAGAAAGCATCTTGTCGTTGCTAGATGGGAGAGGAACAATAGGTTACATTGCACCTGAGGTATTCTCAGGAATGTACGGTAGAGTCTCTCACAAGTCAGATGTTTATAGCTATGGAATGCTGGTCCTTGAGATGATCGGAGCAAGGAACAAAGAAACAGTAGAAACCGCTGATCCTAACTCTAGTTCAACTTACTTTCCAGACTGGATATATAAGGATCTTGAAAATGGAGAGCATACAAGGAAATTTGGTGATGAAATAACTAGAGAGGAGAAAGAGATTGCAAAAAAGATGATCTTGGTGGGTCTCTGGTGTATTCAGCCATGTCCATCAAATCGCCCACCGATGAACAGAGTTGTTGAGATGATGGAAGGAAGTTTGGATGCTCTTGAAGTCCCTCCTAAGCCTTCTTTACATTTATCCGCAGCCCCTCTTGCAGAATCTTCTTGGCTTTCAGAAGAGAATTCAAGCTACTCTGAGGTATTGATATGATGACGTTTACTAATGGGCCCTGCAGTATGTCTAATGCTGGAATCTATTGGCAAATCTTGAAAAACCATACTGGAGTACGCTTCGAAGAGAGCGTTTGATTTTTCATGGAAACTGAAAACCAAATCTTTGTGGAAGTATTTTTAAAAATTATTGTGTTTGAATTCAAAACCAACTAGTATTCTACCTGTACTACGTACGGAAAAAAATTAATCTATCTTGTTCAAATAATATGAACTATGACAAAAAGTTACATTCGAAATTCATGCTAATATATTTAGTAAAAATTTTATGCTAATACTCATTCTATAGCAATACTTGTTGACAGCTAATAATCTTAAACAAAAAGAAAAATATGTTTGTTTTGATATATTTAGAAGGTGTTATTGGTTCTTGTATTTTAATAGATTTGAGAATCCAAACCAAATTCAATGTTATTGGTTCTTGTATTTTAAAATTTATATTGAAATACAGTGTTATTGGTTCTATGATTTTAAAATCCATAATGAAATACAGTGTTATTGATTTTAGAATCTAAATATTATAAAGATTTGAGTTGTAATTGAATTTGAATGGATTTAGAAGGATTTTCATGACTAAAATACAAAGATCCAAATACAAGGTCTAACCTTGGTATTTGAGTGGATTTGATTTTTTTCCATTTTGCTGATTTTGAAATCAATAAATTTATCAAATCCAAAGAAGATTTATAAATCCACCAAAATACAAGAACCAATAACCCCTACTTAGTCAACTTTTAGCACAATGTTTAATAATATTCTTCTCACATTCATTTTATTTTACTTCGACATTGCTAGATTTGTAGAGCTTGACATCAGTAAAAACAAATGATTGAAACAAATAAGGAACCTCTCCTTTTTTTCTCCTTTTTCTGCTTTGTTCCTTCCTTTTGTATTAGAGGCTTTGCTCGGCATATAGTTCTTGGTTTCCTGGGGATCTTTCTCAATCAAATATGAGTACGAAAAATTGAAGAAGCGTTGTTTCCACTGCCAGCATCTCACACATGAACGGCCAGCCTGTCCCCTCCTTCATAGGATAGCTAATGGAAGTTGGCAGAAACCTCTAGGGAACAGTATCTCTAAACTGACTGGACCCATTGCCTCCAGTACCAAACAAACTGCACCTGTAGCTAAAGAATTGGTACCACCTGGTTTCTCCCCAAGATTTCTAGAGCTCCAAGGAGAAGAACGGTCAAATGGCCCTGCAGTATGTCTCTCATAGTGATGCTACAGAACGACAAGCCCGCATTATGAGAGTGGAACAATTTTTGGATCCCAACACCTCGGAATCTCCTGCAAAAATGCCAAAATCACCACTGATCTAAGTAAGCGTAAAGGCCTGGTGTTTGGGTTTGAAGAGCAACACAAGTCAGCTAAAAGGAGGACCTCCACGAATAGCCCATCATTGGTATCAGCTCGGGCTCTGATGGACAATGGCAAATCCTTCAAGGAACTCCTCCTAGAACAAGAGGCCTCATCCTCATACTCCCCGGTTAGTGCAACAGTTTTTCGGATGGGATATTCCTCGGAAGCCCCATCTACCGGCACCCGGAAGGAAGGTAAAAAGAATAGAGCTCGCCCTCAAAAATGGAAACGTCTACAGACCAAGAAAAACATTGAGGTGGCTAATGGGCAAGAGGTTACGATGCAGATATCCTCACCAGACTCTAACCCCAAACGGAAAGCAGATTTGAATGTTGGGGATCATTCTTCAAAATCCCCCAAACCCTCTCTTCTCACAGTGGCTTCCAGTTTGAAGCCGCTGCCATCCCTATGAATATAATGAGCTGGAACTGTCAAGGAGCTGCGAGACAGTTCGTAAACTTCGGGAGATACGTAGAAAGTATTTTCGGGATTTTTTATTTTTGATGGAGACAAAACAAAAGTATGATTTTATGTTGAGTTTGAATAGGGGATTTGATTACGAGCATTTGATCACAATTGAACCTATCGGCTTGAGTGGTGGTTTAGCTATGATGTGGAAGGATAGTTACAAAGTAGAAGTGTTAACAAGTGATAAAAGAATTGTGGACTTACGGGTGGAAATGGGATCTACGGTTTTCTTCTTATCGTGTGTGTGTATGATGATCCAACAAGGGATAGCAGAAGAGAAGTTTGGGACCGGTTAACAAATATAGGGATTAGAAGAGACTAAGCATGAATTCTGTTAGGGGATTTTAGCGAACTAATGTCCAATAACGAGAAGCTAGGAGGACCTAGAAGGCATGAGTCAACCATTTGGGATTTTCGCAACATGTCTGAGAATTACAAATTGAAAGAGCTCAGATACTTGGGTAATCCTCTATCGTGGTCAGGATGGAGAGATGGTGTGTGGATTCAGAGTAGACTCGATAGAAGCTTTGACAACGACCAATGGTATGATCTTTTTCCTAGAGCGCAAACACAGTATTCTGAGCGATTAGCCTCTGATCACCGCCCAATCAGAGTCAGTTTTACGCTGGAAGGGGATGGCCCAAACAGGGGACGCTTTTACTTTGACAAGAGGAAGAGTCAGAGAGAGAAGGCATTGAAAACATCATTACGATGGGATGGTATGGAGACAATAAAGATGAGAACATCTCTATAATGGATCATATCACACGTTGTCGTAGAGAACTCTCCAAATGGAAAAAGACAGTGAATCTAAACTCCCAAGATCGTATAATGCAGCTAAGGCATAATCTGGAAAAAGAAGTGGGAAAAGAATTTCCAGATAGACATCTGATGCAAAATACAAAAAGGGATTTTGCTGAGGCTTATAAAGATGAAGAGATGTTTTCGCAGCAAAGGAGCAGGGAACAATGGCTAAATTGAGGGATATGAATACCTTATACTTTCATAATTGTGTGAAAGGTAGGAAAGTCAAGAATCGTATATTGATGCTCATTGATGCTATGAGCAGGGAAAAATTTCATGAAGGCTCTAAATGTGACATTGCAGTAGACTACTACCGTTAGCTTTTCTTAAGTTCAAATCCTTTTGACTTAAAATTGCACTTTGCCGGTTTTAACTTAAGAGTATCGACTGAGATGAATCAGCTCCTTATGGTAACAGTAACAACAAAAGAGATGAAAAAGCTGCTTTCAGTATCAAGAGCAGCAGTGCCCCGGGTGAAGATGGTTTCACAGGAGTCTTTTACCAATGGTTTTGGCACATTGTGGGTCCTGATATCACCAAGGAGGTTCAAAGTTTCTTTGACTTAGCGGTTATTCCTTCGGGTTGGAATCATACTCAGTTATGCCTTCTCCCGAAGACAACAAGCCCGACAAAGATGCAGGACAGTACGATATAAGATCATATCCAAGATCTTATGTGATCGCCTTAAGGTCATCCTTCCAGACATTATATCAGACACTCAAGGAGAATTTGTATCAGGAAGGCTCATCTCTGACAACATCATTATAGCTCATGAGATGATCCATGGTCTAAGAGCAAATCCACGAGTAGACAAATAGTTCATGGCGGTTAAAACGGATATGTCTAAGGCTTATGACAGAGTGGAATGGTGTTTCGTGGAGATTTTATTGGAAAAAATGGGGTTTGCTCATATTTGGATTAAATGGATCATGGCTTGTATAATCACGGTCACATACTCCATCCTTCTTAATGGCAGAACCCATGGGTTTATTCGTCCCGAACGTGGCATTAGACAAGGTGATCCTTTATCTCTCTTTCTCTTCATACTATGTGTTGAAGCCCTTGTTAGTTGTCTTAACCACTCTGAAGCTCAAGGACGCCTCCATGGCATCAATCTTGCATCGAATAGCCCTGCAGTACACCATCTGCTTTTTGCCGACGATAGTCTCCTAATGTGCAAGGCATCATCAGAAGAAGCTAGAAAAATCACTCTTTGTCTAAAACTATATGGTGATGCTTCAGGCCAGACCATAAACAAGGCGAAATCCTCAATTATCTTTGGATCAAAATTTGGAGAAAAGGTAAAGCAGGAATCAAACTTGATCTGGGAATAAATCAAGAAGGTGGTGAAGGGTCTTATTTGGAATTGCCAGAATGTTTCACTGGATCCAAGATCAAGTTGTTGAATTTTATTCAGGAAAAGCTGAAGAACAGTGCAAGGTTGGTATGCACAAGCTCTATCGTCTGGGGGTCAAAAAGTATTATTTAAATCTGTTGGTCTTGCTTTACCGATGTTTGCTATTTCATGTTTCAAACTATCAAAAGGTCTATGCGACAAATTGACAAGCATAATGATCAAATTCTGGTGGAGCAGTGGTAGTAACCGCCATAAAATCCTGTGGGTAGCATGGCAAAAACTTTGCAAGTCAAAAGAAAATGGAGGCTTGGGTTTTCATGATATCAGCTGGTTTAATCAAGCATTACTTTGTAAACAGGCCTCACGTATTTGGGACAAGCCTGATTCATTTCTCTCGAGAATTTTGAAGCAAAGGTACTTTCGCAACTCCACGATTCTTGAAGCAGGAGTGGGAAACAGACCTTCTTATGCTTGGAGAAGCATCATTTATGGTTTGGAACTATCAAAACAGGGGCTGGTGACTACGATTGGTAAAAGAAGGGACACAAATGTGTGGGTTTCAAGTTGGATAATTGATGGATTACCGAGACCTCCAATGTATCGACAAGATAGCACCATCGATTTGACCCTCAAGGTCTTGGATTTATTGGATGACTCAAGGAGATGGAATGTCTTGCAACTCCATCAAAGCTTTGATCCAGATGATGTGGAGCGTATCCTAAAACTAAGGGATAATTTTTGAAATAACTCACTGTACAATTTTATTATGAAACATGACTTTTATATTAGAGGGGTCCACTAGTTTGCTTTCAGTCTGCAACTAGTCTGTCAGTAATTTGTAATTAGTCTACCATTAGTCTGCCAGTAGTCTACATTCAATTATATGACCATCAGTCTGCCAGTAGTCTGCATTCAGTCTGCCGTTAGTCTACCATTAGTCTGCCATTAGTCTACAAATAACAGTAGTTAGAAGGGTAGTGCTGGTATTTATAAAAATTGTTGAAAGGGGTCATTTTCACAATTTTTCCTCAATGGGGTACATATTTCACATTATTTTATCATTTTGGGTCATTTTAGAGCATTTTCTCTAAAACTAAAACCATCCCTGAATAGGATAGACAAGCTAACGTGGGGCTTCTCTAAAGACAGGCAGTATACAACGCAAAGCAAATACAAACTTCTGGATGATTAGCTAGCGCTACAATACCCACAAGGTCTGACCAAGCCGCCATTGGAAAGGAAGTTATGGTCTAATCTCTGGAAGATTTAAACCACTCCTAAGCTTAAACATTTTCTGTGGAAATCATTGGGAGGGGCTCTACAATCTCGTCATATACCAATTGATGGTACCTGCAGTTCATGCGAAGAAAGTATAGAAACAATTTGTCATGCTCTATTTGAATGCAGGGTGGCCAAAAATGTATGGCGTTTGTCAGGATTTCCATTGCCAGCCTCAGGGTTCTCCCCAACCTCAGTATTCTTAAATGTGCATCACCTTCTCACAGCTAGTAAGAAATCTGATACTGCCATTGGAATCAGGTTGGCCTTTCCATGGATTTTATGGCATCTCTGGAAATCTCGCAATTCTCTTGTCTTTGAACAGACACGTTCAACCCCTGAAGAGATTGTCTCCAAGGCTCTAGATGAGGTTGATGGCTGGTTACGTACCAAAGATTTGTTTAAAACAGGCTCATCAACCCCTCGGCGGATATAACTTTACATAGAAAATGGGTAAAACCTCCATTGAACACTCTTAAATGCAATATCGGGGTCTCCTGGATCTTGCCGAACAGAAACTGTGGGGTGGCTTGGATAGTGAGAGACCACAACGGAGATACCCTATTTCACAGTAGACGATCTTACTCTGCAATCAGTTCATCCCGAGAAACTCTTAAGTCTCTTGTGGGCCGTGGAATCATTGGCATCCCTGAATCAATCGAACATTATAATGGAGTCTTCATGCGAACAAATGGGAGATGTAATGCTCCAACCACTCTCTTTCCCCCAATTCCAAGATGTGATATCTCAATTCTTCACTCACCTAAACTCTTTGGGAATATGGAGTTTGAATCACTTCCATAAGGAAAGCAATAGAGTCGTTGAGAAAATAGCGGTGAGCGTTACAAGGGATCATATGTACCAATCGTACGTTTCACATAGAGGTCCATCTTGGCTACATCATTTGTTATCATCAGAAGCAATAAGGAGTCATTAAGTTGAAAGTGGTCTTGCACTATACGGCATAGGAAGCTCTCCTCCATCACACATGATGGTTTACATTTCATTGCTCGTCCAATAATATGCTTTGTTTTTTTTTTGTTATCTTTTATGCTCTGTTTAGATGCCTACTGGTATCGTCGTCTGTACTCAGTTAACTCTCCCTTTACCAATCAATGAATTACCAGTGTTAATAAAAAGACATCAGTATATTTCTTTCACAGCAATTAATATTAATTCTCGTTATTAATGTGCATAAAACTAACTAATGTATTAATGTAAATGATTTACTAATTGTGCCATTACAGAATCAATCGTAACAAATGTCTTTTAATCAATTGATTAGCTCCTTTTTTACCATTAGCTAGAGCCATCAGATGATGTATAAATGTTCTTTCCGTGATACTCAATATTGTGGCCTTTGAGCATATTCCCCTGCACTTTACTTTTTTTGTGATTGCTTCTAGTTGCAACTGCAAAATTCTGCATAGTTCAAATTTTGTTAGCACACATAGTGTAAATACACAATAAAAATGTCAATAATTATATGAAAGAATTATATATATTTTTTTCTTTTGCTGAAGTATTCTATTTCTTATAGAGTAAATAAAAAACACATATTTGACTCTAGCTTCTCTTAGATATAAGCCCGTTGATTTAGAAATAAACTAAGAAATATATATTTATTATAATCAAGATAGCTTATTAACTGAAATCACAACATCATCATCAAAAAAACCAAAAACAAAACTTTGTGTTGTTTGTAAGTGTTATCACCATTAATGATAAATTTTGCGAGTTTGTTTTTTTACTTCTTGAAAAGCATAAAAACAAAACGTCAATCCCTAAAATAGTAGAAAAGAAAACTGAAATTTAAGAAGCAATAGAAATCTATATAGAAATGTCAGTTACAAAATGAACTTAGAAAAATCAATTAACGATTACATTATATTAATTACATACACATTCGTTGCAACGTATATTCACATAAAAAAACACTTCTAACAGAGGAAGATAAATCCATAAAATTTATAACCAAGTCAAGAAAACAGATAATTAAAATTAAGCAGATCAAATAATAGAATATGATATTTACACCTGTAATTTAATCTCTGATTGATTGCTATTGTTTTTCTTCTTTTGTTATACAAAGTGAAAGTGGTTGATGGTACTTCTTCTCGATAGAGTGTTATTTGTTGTCTTACCAGTTACCACACCTATAGCCACACATTTTGAAAACTACATCAATGCATCATTATTTATTAGCCATGAGAGTAACCGAAGAGATAGAAAGTTGACAACAACAGAAAAAATAGTAGAAGTATATCATCTATTCCACTTTTCTGCTAAATTTAACCCAGTTCATCAAATCAAAAAGTAAGCCCTAAGTACTTCAAAGAGAAACTGTCAATGTGTGTGAGAAGACCTGAAAAAGAGAGGCCACAGTAGAAGAAGAGTAAGATTTGAGATATTGAGAAACAAAAACATAGGAAAATATGAGATGAATGAGCAATTTACCTAGGAGAAGAGGTGTCATCAAAATCGATTGGGTTTTTTGGATATGATAAAAAGAGAAACTGTGTGTTTTTTTTGTATGAAGCAATTGACTGGCACAAAATAGCATCACACAAATATAAACGGAATAATAAAAAATAGTTTTTTGGAGATTGTAAGTGTGGAAAAAAGAACAGTTATAAAGAGATGGTGAGATTAACTGAAGTTTTGAAAAATGTGTCTTGTCTTTTGTGTTTTATGAATTATTTTTTTATTTATTTTCTTAAATTAATTATTTTAATATTTAAGTAAAAATATAAAAACGAAAAATAATTTTATTTAAAAGAAAACACGTGTCAAATTCATAATTGTCAACTGACTTGTGTTTTATACGTATAAAAAATGAACGATACAGGGATTGATGCTTTACACTCAACATTATTTGTTTTATGAACAATGGTCGGGTCTAAGGTCTTAATTAGTAAACCGAAACCTACAAAATATTCTCTACAAAAAATATCCAGAATAATGGAGTTGTGGGGTTTATAAATGCGTTCTTCGTATACGTTAACAAGATTCTCCACGAGGACTAGTAAGGAAAGGCTTTACATTTTCGGGTGAGTGAAAAATAAAAAGATGGGTTTATGATTAAAAAGCACTAAAAACTTTTTTATTATTTAATTAATTTAGCGTATCTATTTTGTTCTTAAACCTTTTGTTGACAAAAATAATAATTACGATTGTGTTATTATTTTTTGCTTGTTACGTAGACGACACGTTTAACAGTTTAACAGTAGACTTATTATTTTTGGTCAACGGATGGTAGATTTATTTTGTGCTGGAGAATTTGGTAGATTTGTCATTATCGATAAAGTAGTTACAAAGCGGTAGATTTATTGAGGAATGGTAGATTTGTTTATAAACCGGTAGACTTAAAAATATTGATGGAAGATTTAATTTCTTTGATCCTTAGATGGGGGAAATTAGTGGTAGCTGTTTGACTTTTTCCGTTTATTGATTTTTTATGACGGTGGATTTATTTTGGATTTGGTAAATTTATTTTGCGGTTGGTAGACTTATTTGATGATGTGGTAAACTTGTGTCTGGAAATGAGTGGGTGGCTGATGTTTGCTTGGTGGTAAAGTTGCATCATTGATGGTAAATTTTAAATACTTTATTAGATAACCATGCTGTTGTGGTTTAACTTCAATTATATAATGGTAGAGTTATATGTTTCAATAATTACTAAAATAACATCGTTAATAGATTTATCGTGATCTCGTTATGGTAGACTTTCTATTTGATGGAAGAATTTTGACTTTTATACAGAGAAATTTAAATCTACCAAAATTTCAAATCATCGAAAACATTAAAATTGGATTACCCCATATTGATTTATACGCTGTAATTGGATATGAACATCATAAAGAAGAGAGTGAATATGATTTTTGATACAAATTACATATTAATATTTGAGCATCTTAATCCGCACAAAATACATAAAAATGGAGTTATCGATCCATATTACACAATAGAAAATAGACTACATCAGAACTCAATCTTAGCGGCTGGTATTGGACAAAACGGTAGCAGTCCTCATAGTACATTAATGTGTGTTTGAACTTGTATGTTAGAAAATCTTCTACGCTGAAAGCATTTGGCAACAAACCTGCACTACGACTCTGCATCTCCTTCTTGGATTGAGAAACCTCTTCACCAAGTTTGAGTATGTAGTGCATGCGTGATCTCCAACCTACAACTATGTCCAACATCTGAAGTGCTAATGGATAGTGGTCATATGCGGTTACACAAATAGCGACCATCAGTGTTGCTTAGTTTATCCTGACTTTAGAAGCTTTGTTAAAAAAGCTGAGTGAATTTTCAAGGTCGTGGGTTATAGCTATAGTCCTCATCTCATGCAGGTATAACGCATGAGGATTGTCAGATGACACAGCCAAATTGAAGAAGCGAAGATATCGGTTGATCAAAGTTGTATCAGCAAGGAAGTCCGATAGGTTTAGTGCTTGTATTACAAATGGTTCTTTGAATGCTGCGTTTAGTTGTTTTGACGCGCAAGCTGCACAACATGCGTCCTTAGCAGAATGTCGTCCCACTCTCTGTAGAATCAGACCGAGTAGGTCTTTTATTTGGTCGAGTCCATCTATTGTTTCCATTCTATGCTGAAACAGAGAGAGGATACAGAAGTAGAGAAGTCTGAACAATAGGAAAAGTATGAATCTACCATCAATAAGCCAAGTATATCTACCACAACTGATCAAAAACATATCTACAAAAAAAAGAGAAAAACTACCATCACTAGACCAAGTATATCTACCATAACTGATTATTGACAGACCTACAGAAAAATTAAATCTACCATCAATACACCAAGATGGACTCGACCACACATCAACAAACTGACCTACCGGCATGTCCAACTCCTTATCAGAGACATCCTCACTACTCTCCACCTCCTTCTCTTTTTGTTTTCTTTCTTCTTCTCCCTCAAAAACACTTTCTACCTTACGCATTTTCTTCTTTTTAGGCTCTTCTACAAAATCATTATCACTTTCCTCAACACTAACTTTCTTCTTACTCTCCTTCTTCTCCCTCTTCTCCTTCTCCTTCCCTTTTTTCTTCTCCTCCCCCTTCTCCTCCCCCTTCTCCTTCTCTTTATTCTTTGAATAATTCCCAACTATCTCCTCCCATACTGTCTCATCTAAATGTCCGTCGAGAATATCGGTTAGCATATTTTGAAGCTTCAGATCCACCTCTGGCGTTGACTCCTCGTCTGGCCAAAACTGATATATATCCTCTCGAGGGACCTCCACTAGATGCCTCACCTAATCTGCAGACAAAGACAAGGTAGACAAATCAAAATCACAATACTAACGAGTCTACCACGTATATATGTCTATCACAACTAATACTAACAAGTCTACCACAACTAATACTATCAATTCTACCACAACTAATATTAACAAGTCTATCACATATATATGTCTATCACAACTAATACTAACAAGTCTACCACAACTAATACTATCAAATCTACCACAACTAATACTAATAAGTCTACCAACACTAATACTAACAAGTCTACCACATATATATATATATATATATATATATATCTATCACAAATAATACTAAAAAGTCTACCACGACTAATACTAACAAGTCTACCACGTATATAAGTCTATTATCATACTAACAATCAAATATCAATCAAAATCAACTCTACCATCAATGAAAATCAAATCTAAATATATATAGACTACATCTACTATCAATCATATCTACCACCATAAGCACAATTCACATAATATTTCTACTATAACTAAGGCTATAACTACCAAAATACCAAATTT